GTGTGTGTGTGTGTGTGTGTGTGTGTGTGTGTGTGTGTGTGTGTGTGTGAGAGAGAGAGAGAGAGAGAGAGAGAGAAACTGAGCAGAAAAAGAAATGTAGAAAGTGGCAAAGAAATCTTGGGTGAGAGGTCTTTGGGGCCAGACATAGGTTAAAGAACTTGGTCACCTTTGCATGCCGCTTCCTTCTTATTAGTCAATATTAAGTACCATGTGCGTAGCGGCTGCCTAAGTTCTTTGCATCCTGGGAAATGTAGTTTTCTCCTAGTTAAGAGTAAAGCAAAACCAGGATGTATAGTCAAGTGTTTTCTATACCCTAGATCAGGGATTCTAAACCAAAGGTTTTGTTTTGTTTTGTTTTAATATTTTGATAACTTTCAATATAATTAATATGTATGTTATTTTATGCATTTAAAAACATAATTCTGAGAAGGGGTCCATAGGTTTTGCCAGGCTGCCAAAAGAGTCTATCACACAAAAAAAGTGAAGAACCCCTGCCCTAGCATCTCCCCTTCTTGGCTTTGGGGATGTATACAATGGGACTAGGTTATAAAAGAAACTGTTAAGAATTAGATCTTTCTAATCCCTTGAGTAACTGAACTCCCAATTTAGAGGAGTCTAAGGCCAATTCAAGATATTAATCAGTCAACTTGTCAGTATTACAAACTGTAGCTGGTTTTATCAAAGGGTACTCCAGGGTACTACAATACATAATCACCTAGGAATTGTGATTATCTGTAATTAGTAATTAGTCATTAGTCATTCAACCTCCCCTCCAGGCCCTATACCTCCTTGCTTCCCTACCTCCAGCCCCTATAGATCAATTTCTCCTTTCAGATCACTAGGGTAGAGGAAGATAGGACTATTCCCCTACTTGGCATAGGTGAGAATGTGGAACCAAGCCATAAATTAGATACTAAAAATAATATGCTATGGGAGGAGGGGAAACCTGTCATGTCAGGGGACCTGGGTTTTGATCCCTCCTCATCCTCCCCTGTCCCCTCCAGTGGACTTACAGTCCTATTCTTCGGCCTCATCTTTCTCCCACCTTGAGGCCAAGATCCGTCAGACCCACAGTCTTGCAAGGCTCCTCACTAGCTATGCTGAGCAGCTGCTTCAGGAATATGTGAGTACAGAGATGGGAGGTGGTAGGGTGGAGGAGGGGATGGGGAATGGTGGGGAAGATTACTCTATACTCTTTGAATTGTTCAGTTTTAGGGGCAAGCCTTGGAAAGACCCTCTACTCCAGTCCCACCATTATACAGAAAAAGAAACTGAGAAGTGGAAAGGACTTGCCTGGGGTCACACAGTGAATCAATGTTAGAACTAGGATTAGAATCCAGGACCATTGATTCTCAGGCTAGAGTCTTGACATCAGACCAGGCTTGGCTTCATCTTAAAGGGTAGGCAGCTTCAGAATTAGAAACAAGGAAGATGAGAACTCATTCCCACATACGTAGAGGAAAATCCACCTCCTGTCAGCTTTCCATTCAGGTCAAGTTGTTAATCACTAAAAGCTTTATCTTTCCACTGCCTGGCAGGCTCCCTCCCACCGTGCACTGGCCTCACCACCACCAGCCTTCCCTGACAAGCTGATGAGTGCTGATGAGACAGAAACATTAATACTGGCACAAATGAAATTGGTGGAAGGTGGGAGGGAAATATTATGCCTTGCATCCAAATTCAAATCCTTGTGATCCATTGGCTATTTACTGTTAAATTAATACTGTTGTGGACTATCTCTGCTATAATACCTCCCCACTAACTCTGACTAGGAAAAACCACAGTGTAAGTGACAAAGAACTAGGTTCTATTTCTGGCTCTGTTTACACTTGTGTGACCTTGGGCAACTCAGTTATCCCTTCTGTACCTCAATTTCCTATGAAATTATTCCAGATTCTATGATTCTAATTGGGATCCAGCCCTGCAAAGGGGAATGTTCCCCTGGGAGGAAGAACAGAAGTCTTCCACCTTCCAATATTTGGAGGGGGGGTGGAGTAGGAAGGAAGAAAAATCTCGTGTTATTGATGAGGAGGACTTTTACAGCACAAAGAGAATCAGTTTTCCTAATGAGAACCAAGCAAGAAGAGCAAAGAGGCCTCATAGGCTTCACCAAGGCTAGTAGAAAATAAGGTAATGTTATAGCATAAGCAGTTCCTATTCAGAGGAGCTGCTCTTGCCTGGGACTTTTATAGAAGACTGGAGTCCGTTGCCTTAAGTGGGATCCTCCAGGGAGGGTCTGTCCAAGGGGAAGAAAAGACTCCTCCTAACACCTCTCCCCACCCTTCCCTTACAGGTCCAGCACCAGGGGGACCCATTCGGGCTGCCCAGCTTCTCTCCCCCTGGGTTACCAGTGCCCGGGCTGAACTCCCCAGCCCCAGCTCATTCAGGGCTCCCCACCCTTGAGCGGCTGCAGCTTGATGCAGCTGCCCTGAACTCACTGTCCCCACTGCTGGACGACATCCGCCGCCTCCAGGCTGATCTCAACCCTTTTGCCCGTCGGCTCCTCCGACGGCTAGAAGATGCCTCTCACCAGTCAAGGGCGCTGGGGAGTGCTGTAGAAGTTGTTCTGGGGGCACTAGGTGCAACCCCAGGGCCCCCAGGGCCCCACCCCATGCTTCCTGAATCTCCTGGGGTCTTCCTGGCTAAGTTGTTGGGCTACAGGGTATGTGGGTTGTACCAGGAGTGGGTAATCTGCACAGAAGGTGACCTGGGTCAGTTGCTACGGGCAGGGCTAGGCTGAGAGAGGAGCCTACCTTACCGCACATCTTTCCCCATGAAAGGCCACCAACTAGCTTCCTTCTCACTCCATCCTCATCTTCTGTCACTATCCCTTCACTAGCATACCCCTCCTGTTATCTCCATCTCAGAGCCTCTCTGTCTACTTCATTCTCTCTTCCTGTCTTCTCAGCTTTGGATTGGGCCCTAGGGTCAGTCAATATCTGCTTAAGAGATCACTGTAGAAGAAAGTTCCAAGATGTTTACCTAGAGGAGCCTTCAGCCTAATTCCCTTTGAAGCCCACACTGCCTCCTGCATCATTACCCACAATTCATACTTTGTCCGCTCATGGATCTCTGTTGTTCCCCATAGCCCAAGTCCACCTTTTTACCCCTCTGTACTTCTTTCTCTTCCTCATTCCTCTAATCCCCTGATTCTAGCACACCAAACTATGAGGTCTGTGAAAAAGATTCCCCTGAAAAGGAGATTTTTATTTCTGAGAATAAATTAATTTTTTGGTAAATTAAAAAAAAATCCTTCAATGTACAGTTCTTGGAGTTGGGAAGAACAGTGTCAGAGGGGATTGGGGTTGTTTCTTGGGACAGATTAAACACAAATTTCAGGGATGCAATATAAATAGGGTATTAAATAAAGGAACTGAGATTCCCTAGACAATGACATCTTTTCACCCTGAGAGTCAGAAAATGAAAGGCTATTGTGTGTGGAATAGATATGATTTGAAGAAGAAGTGAATATTTGACATTAAATTATAGGAAATAGCTAACATAGACAAGGCAATGGCATCTATTGTGAGGCAGCAGGAGCCCAAAGTCACAGGGGCTGAGGTAGACTTAATGAGGAGGTTAATCCCTCTAGAGGTAGGAAGTGAAATCCATTCACACAGGACATTAGATACTATACTGGACATGCCCAAATCAATGATAAAGCTTGAAATAAGGCTTATCCATACAGAACTGGCCCCAAACCACCTGTTCACATCCCTCTACAAAGGAGGTCCCACCAGCACCACTGGAGAAAGCCACTTTGGGGGGCTCTCTACTAAGCAGGAACATTGGGGGAATCGGGCCAATGGCTCCAGGGGACAGATGGGGAGGCATCACTTCGTGGGAGCTGGCTGACCCCTAAGGAACAGTAGACTGCAAATCTTTCCCTTCATCTCAAAAGTGTACAGATAATAAAACAGGAAATTGTCCATGGTGAAGCTTAAAAGTTGTCATTTCAGACAGAAGTCCACACTGCTCACTATGCCACGTATTTGGCCTTAAGCAGAGCCAGGTCCCGCACAGCCCTGTCTGTCCAGTGTCCGTATTCCCGGGTCACCACATAGCCCCGACATTTCCTTTGAAAGACAGAGGCTCCAAAGGGTGCGGGGCCAAGAGTATCCATTTCAGGAGGAACGGACACCCCCAAGACCGTGATGGCACAAGCTATGTTGCTCATCAGGCCCTGGGCTCGGAGCCTTGCAGCTGCAAGTTGAGACAGCAAGACAGAACTGCCAGGGTTCAGGTCAGCCTGGTCATCACTCACAAGCTGCAGATGCTGGGCCAGGGCTGAGAAAGCACGGTGGACCTGGACCAGCCTCTCGCCATCTCCCAGACTACGCCACAACGTGAAGGGGACAGCTGCAGGGGCCAGGCTGCTTAGCTGGATTTCAGGGGCTGAGAAGCCTGGGTCACTGAAGGGACTGCCTTGGTACTGGAGCTGTGTAAACAAAAGAAAATACATAGAGGATAAAACCAGGATACTCAAGTCACATAGGCCCTTAGGTGGCACAGGTACAGAGTACAGGACCTGGAGTCAGGAAGTTCAGATCCGGATACTAGTTATGTGACCTTGAGTAAGTCACTGCCTGCTTCAGTTTCCTCAACTGTAAAATGGAGATAATAATAGTTTGTGATGAAGATCAAATGATATAATAGTTGTAATGCACTTAACAGTGCCTGGCACAGAGTAGGCATTTAATAAATGCTTATTCCTTTCTTCCCCTCCCTATACAAGAAAAAGACTTTCTCATGTCAGGTGAAAGAATTTAGGTGATACAGCAGATAGATCACTGGACCTAGAATCAGAAAGACCTAAGTTCAAATTCTATCTCAGACAGTAGCTGTGTGATCCTGGGCAAGTCACTTAACCCCTGTTTGCCTCAGTTTCCTCAATTGTAAAATGGTGCTAATACCACCTACCTTGCAGGGTTGTTGTGAGAATTAAATAAGATAATATTTGTACAGTGCCTGGCAAAAAGTAGGTACTATATATTCCCTTCCCTTCCTTTCCCTCCTCCTTTGAATTTCTACAACCACAGAATCCTATGAATGGAAGAGACCTTAGGTATTATCCAGTCACAAACTCTTAAAGTTGGAAGGGACATGAGGATCTTCTACTCCAACTCATACCTGACACAAGAATCCCCTTGAACAATAGAAGCTGACATTTTTACATCCCTTTCAGGTTTGCAAAATGCTTTACATACTTCATCATGTTTGATTCTCAATACAAACCTGTGAAGGAGGCATTGTAGATACCATTATATTCTTTTTATAGATAAGAAAACTGAATGTAAGGGTGGGAAATTGACCTGTCTGTGGTCACACAGCAAATGTTAAGGTGGGATTTAATTCTTGTTCTCCAATTCTTTCATTTGTTTTTTTAGAGGCAATAAGGGCTAAGTAACTTGCCCAGGGTCACACCACTAGTAAGAGTGTGAGGCCAGATTTGAACTCAGGTCCTCCTGACTCCAGTTAAGCTGTGCTGTTCTAAGTCAATTGCTTCTATTACACCATCTACCTTTTTATAATATCCCTGGCAAGGGCTTCTTCTTGAAGACCTCTCAGAATGGGGAACTTACAGCTTGCAGAGGCAGCTGATTCTATTTTTGGATGACTCTAATTGTTAGACAGTTTTCCCTTCTATTAAGCCTAAATTTAATATTTTGCCACTTCTACCCTTTGGGAGTCAAAGAGATAAAGTCTAATCTTTCTTCCACCTAACAGCCCTCCAAAGAGTATTGCCCCCCCAAACCCCACCCCAATAAATGTGTAAAATCTGTGTTACCCTTATGAAAAATGATTTCTAGACTCAGAATTCTACCCCCCAGTCTTCTGCTCCAAAGTTCTTCAGAAGGACATTACTGATAATGAGATTGCATTAAATCTTCTTATCTTGGTCAAACCCAATCCGAACCAGAATTGATTTTATCCTACTCAGGACTGGGTGGAGACAGATACAATATCTAGATAGAAGGAGGCTGGGAGTGGTCTGGAATGATAGAGGGTTGATATGAACTCCTGTTGAAAGGGTCTGTAGCTCTATACCCCCAAATCCCAAATAGAGTCAGTTCTGAACTGGCCCCCTTAGTGGGGCTCAGTTTTGGACTGAACTGCCATGCAATGTATATCAAGCCAACTTGAGAGAAATTAAACCATGGACACATGTACCCTAACTTCATTTGTCTCTTAGAACAGACTCTAATTTGTTGGGGTTTGACATTTAATGGTGCCATGACTCGGATTTGGACTGGGATTTGGGGAGGGCTTTTTCACCTCAATAGTGGTAGGTCTGGGTGCCCATAGGATTTTTTTCCTGCAATCACAGCCCTGAAGAGTGGGTGAGTCTTATCCCCCAAATCCCTGCTCCTTATCTATCAGACTCCTCACATTAGGTTGCAGTTTGTTTTTCTCCAAGTGGCTCTGGGGGCAGAGATCTAGACAGTTGTCCTGGAAGGAAAAAATCCTTTGTAGTTTGTCTATGACGAGTCAAAGTAAATTGGTATGTGATAAATTGTATTGTAATCTGAATTGGTTGCTTTTAGAAGGATGTGGAACTAAAGGATAACTGAATTTTGACCAGTCTAATTCTAAATTGGTTCATCTTAAAAATGAACTAAGCCTAAAAAGCCAACCAGAAAATTAGATCTGTGTGCACCCTGTCTTGTCATTCCATGTCTCTGTGTCTCTGTGACTGTCATGTTTTATGTTTGTGGTAAAAAATTTAAAATGCAGCCACAAAAACTTCTAAGGTCTGTAATTAGAGAGGGAACATTAGGAAAGAACTCCCACCTTAGGCTTTCAGTGGGAGATTAATGATGGGGTTGGAATCTGGGCTCCAGAAAGGAAAAACCCTGGACTTTCCCACTTGGCCAAATCTCTGAGGCTATAATCCCATCAACTGGCCTTTCCTTGTGGCTACACCCAATCTCCCCTCCATTGTCTTCCCTTCCTGTGGCCCCAGGCCACTTTCCACCCTTGGTCCCACCTAGGCTCCATTTCCCACCCTTGGTAATTCTATTACCTCATGGATTACTTGGCCACTCCTAGATTCCTCCCACAATCTTTCTGTATGTAAAGTCCATCTTGTCTCCATTAAGATGCTCTGATTCTTACAATCTAGATAATAGCTCACAGATGCTCAGATTCCTTAAGAGTCTAGCTAATATGGAGAATCTTCAATAAACCTTGTTTTTGGCTGCAAGAAGGCTTGGGTCGAATTCTTTCAGGCAGGACCTGGGTGTTGTGATTTTGGGATTCCAGGACCCCTAACCTCCAGACCGCATCAATTAAGACTTTTTTTGGGGGGGGGGGTCCCAACACTGACTAAGTTGGGATACCAGAATAAAGTTAAATCAAGTAGTTTTTAGACTGATAAGAATCTAAACCAGGTAAGGACTCTGAGGGAGAAGAGCTGAGGGTTTGAATTCAGGTTTAATCAGATCCCAAAGCTAAAGTTTGTACTTTATGTTTAAATTAAATCTAGAGAACTGCCTTTCACCCCCTCCTGCCAATGTATCTGATATCATGGCAATGTGTTTAAAACTGCAAAAATAAGGGTTTTTCTGTCTTTTAAGCATTAATGTTACAAAAGCAGTTTGTGAAGGTATGGGAGAAATATAAGCTCTCTTGATTTGTAAATTGTTAGGCATTAACTCCCTTCAGATTCTAAACTGTAAAGACAAGCAGGACAAATTGGGGTAAGTATAATTTTAATTTGGAATGTAAAGGAAAATGGAAGTAGTCTGAGTATTGGGTTTGAAAGATTAGGAAAGAGACATAAATGCTTGAGCGAAAATATGAAAGATAGAGAAAAAACATTTGGGGATAGATGGGGGTGGGGTGGGCAGCAGTAAGCCCATGTGCTCTAAGCACCCTCCTCCTAGGATAGTTGTTGTGGGTGCTCTTGTGCCAGCTTCAGATCTCAGTGTAAGGAAGTTTGATTTTGTTCTAAGAAAGATTGAAAATGAAAATTTTGTAGCTTGATTTGAAAACCAATAGATAAGGTTATAGAAAGTTAGAAGGAATTATATCTACCTGCCTTTCAGGATAAACCTGTAGGAAGGCCTTATTAAACCTAACATTACGTAAATATTGGCTATGGTAAAGATATTGGTTATTGTGATTTGAGATATTTATATAGAATCTTAAAAAGTTTCCTTGTAATATTCGATTAATATTATTAACCCTGGAACTCTGGAAGTAAACCTCTGGAACCTCTGGAGGCCTGGGGAAACTAGCCACACTCTCACTAAATCAAATTCCTTAGGTCTCCTTTTGGCCTGAGCCAGGAGCTGCATGCAGTGCAGCCTGGTCTTGGAATGTTGGCCCAGCACATTTTGATCTGGCTGATTAGTGGCAGGTGTAATTTCAAACTGTTTATAAAACTTTATATGCATTTCCTAGTGTATACAGCCACGTGTCTTTTTTAAGGGAATATATGAATTTGTGGATAGTATTTCCTTTTAAAAGGCCAAGAGTATTGGACTTTAAAATTTTTCTTTACATGTTTATCATTAGAGACTATAAATCCAGATTTGATTTGATTTAAATCAAAAATCTGTCCTGAAGGAATAAGAACAGCATCTGAGAGTGTTCTTCCTATCAGGATTAAGCACAAAAAAGGATGGTGTTATTTGGCATTAAGAAATTTATTAACTGTATTTACTTCAGTTTACTGTTTTGTAAGGGGATAATGGTGGAACCCACTTTCCAGGGATGTTGTGAGGATCACATGATCGTCAAGCATTTGGCACATTGCTTGGCGTGGGACAAATGCTATCTGAATGTTAACTGTTTAAATGTGATTGTTTAAATTAAGGTTACATAATTGGTAATTAATTGGTTTTATTTCAAGTTTAAATATGTGATAATTGTTTATGGTATTGTTATATTTCTAAATTTCCTTATATTGTATAACTTGGTAACATTTATGTAACCTATGTTGTTAGAAAAGCAATTTTTCTTATAATCTAGATGTTAGATTAAGAATTGTACTGTCAGAGAAAAAGAAAAATGAATGGGTTAAGAAGCTGTTAGGTCATTCTATCTGACCATTTTGAAGTACTGTAATTTAAGAAATCATCAACTTCCAAGTTTTGTCTATTTTAAAGAGAAGTTTCAGGTAAAATTATTTGGCTATCACTTATGAAAATTAAGATTGCTAACTAAGTTATTTGGAGTTACTGTTTAAGCCAAGTATTTACAAAAGTATTTCATGAAAGGAAACGACAATTATACAGAGAAAGGACTTAGTAAATTCTCTTTGTAATTAATTTAGTTTGTTATAGTAACATCAGAATAAATTGTAAGCTGTTTTAAGAAAGGGAAATACTTTTATGAAGAAATGTTTTGCAAAATCTTTTGTGTGATTTTTTTGAAGGCCTACTAAATTTCCATTTGCAAGCTAATTTGTTGCAGTAATAATTTGATATTGATGACAATTGCGTCCAAACCTACTGTGACTATCTAGTTTCATTCCTAGGTTTGTTGTGTCTTTGGACTGGCCTTAATGGGTGCTTTCTAAGAAACAGAGTTAGAATCAGCAGCTCAATTGGAGCAGCAACAGAGGTCTAAGGCTAGTGATTAATACTAAAGCAATTATTGGAAGTAGGAGGGATCTTGCTATTTTTATCTGAATTCATTCCATGGCTTAACAAGGGTTAAAATTAGTGTTTGAACATATCATATGCGTAAGATTCAATTCCTGAAGTGTCTTGTTCTTTCAGATTAAGTATGGTTAGAGAAGGATAAATAAGCTTGAGAAACAGAGATGCAAATCTATTAGAGTAGCAATTTATGATCTTAATGAAAATTTGATTTTACTCATGTTGTTATTTAATCAGGAATCAGTACATGTGTAGAAATGTATATACACTACTTAAGGCTCTGATTATTGGAGCCTGTTATTCAAGACTTTATGGGATTGTTAACTGACTCCAGGTATGGTTATCAAGGAATGCTACTGAGTCACTGATCCATGATGCCAGCAACCCTGTGGGTTCTATGAACTGAATGTATGAACTGCAGAGGGTATTCTCATGGGAAAATTGGGAGAATAACTTCTGCATGAGCTGAGGTAGGATTCTTCTGACTCAATTTCCTCAATACAAATATCCCATCTGGCAGACTTTAAGTCTGGCTCAATGCAATTAGCCATCTAACATAACTTCTGTCTGGAATTGACATGAAATTAGGGAACATTGTTCCCTTACTATAGTTATGTCCCTATTCTTTTATGGCAAATTTCTATAATCAAAAAGTTTTGTAAGTACAATATTAAATCTATTAAATAATGGATTGATACTGGAACATCTGAGGTTATTATAGTAAGATGCAAGGATAAGATTGAGCTATTTGGCCTAGAATTTTAGAATTAAGTATTTAGCCTTGACATCTATTACTAGTATATATTCCTGTATAAGTTAGGGTCCTTTAATTCCTCATAATGGTATGGGAATAATTAGGTCAAGGATTTGTGACCACCAGGATATTATTCTGTTACTTAGTTGATATTTTACCTGTCTGTTTTGTTACAATTAGTTAATTTTAAAAGAATGGCTTGTGGTCTGTCTTGTAACTGCTTTAAAGGAAGCATCCACTTTAATTAGGGGTTATTTATTTCAACATGACCAGAAATTGGAATTGTTTTATTGATATGTACTGTTTTAAAATTGATCACTCAATGTATTATGTATATATGTATTGGAGTCCATCTCTTTATAAAAAATGTTCTGTTATTAATTCCTTAGTGGAATCTCATCCTCCTGATGGGGGAATGAATGTGAAGTATAAAAACTGGGTTCTAATTTTCAATAACTAGGTTCTAATTTTCCTGTTTTTATTTTCCTGTTTTATTTTCCTGTTTAACATGACAATTGGCCAAGGTTCCAATTTTGATTTTATAATAATAGAGACATAAAGGTTGAGTTAACTTTCATTATTTGACCTGGTTATTGCCAAGGTAATTTAAAATTGTGTTAAGATCAATCTTGTAGAAGAGTGGACACAAGAAAGAAGATCTCTGCAAGAAGACAGTCTGTTGGAGACTGCTTGGACAGCACTCAGACCAGAAAACTTCATCAGATGATGTTCCTCCCAGACAGCTATATAAGATGAGACTTCTGAGCCCCTTAAATGGACAATTTATTTATTACTTACTTTTCCCCTTTGCTATTTACATACTAAGGGGACTGCCCCCTTGATTTGTCAATGCCTCGATCAATTTCTCCCTCTCCTCTTGCATATTGTTATAAGTCCCCAAAACCTCTTGATGAAGCATTGACCATATTAGTGATTCGGCGAGGAGGTTGCACCTCTCATTAGAATCAGATGGGGGAATGTGAAAAATGATTTCTAAACTCCGAGATCCACCCCCCATCCTTCTGCTCCAAAGTTCTTCAGAAGGACATTACTGATAATGAGATTGAATTGAATCTTCTTATCTTGGTCAAACCCAACCCAAACTAGAATTGATTTTATCCTACTCAGGACTGGGTGGAGACAGATACGTCTAGATAGAAGGAGGCTGGGAGTGGTCTGGAATGATGGCAGGTTGATACGAACCCCTGTTGAAAGGGTCTATATCCTTGTATCCCCAAATCCCAAATAGAGCCAGTTCTGAACTGGCCCTCTTAGGGGGTCCCAGTTTTGGACTGAACTGCCATGCAATGTATGTCAAACCAGTTTGAGAGAAATTAAACTGTGTACACATGTACCCTAATTTCATTTGTTTCTTTCTTAGAACAGACTCTGTAATTTATTGGGGCTCAACAAGCTTCAGTTTATAGAGAAGGAATCCAGGCACCAGAGGGAAAAAAAATAACTTGTTCACACACTTAATAGCAGAGCTAGGACTAGAATCAGAGATGTGCTGGTAAATGTTTAACAATCGGCTTTCCAGGAAAATAAATGTAGCAATGAGCACTTTTAAATTTAATCTGCACTATTAACATTTCCTCCAAAATTTTCTTAAGTCTAGACAGCCAATGAAACAGTAAGTTTCATTCTGATTTGTAGCCATGTACCAATTTTTGAAGTGTAAATGCACACATCAAAAATTTCTTAGTTGCATCTCAGGAGTTGGTGGGGGCTGGCTCCAGCACACCCCTGACAAAAACCCAATTCTCCTGACTCCTAAGCCACTACCTTCATAATCTCCCTGGCGGCTCTTGAGGCAATAATAAAATTTACAATAATTTGCATTTATATAGGACTTCATAATTTTCAAAATGGAGTTGAGAGCTTTCTTTGTGTCCTTTCCCCCAGTTTTCTATTTCCAGAATTTCCTTCCTTTCCCCTGCTGAAGGAGGCTTCTCCTTGACATCCCTTACTTTTCCCCATGGGGGAAGAGCCTCTTTCCTGCAGCCCCATCTTATTTCCAATGTAAGAGCCTCCTCCCATCTGCCCAACTGTCCATTCTCACTTACATAAGTCTGCACCAGCACCGATGAGTTCTTCTGCATGTAGAGGGCCAAGTTGTAGGTTCGGTTGATGGAGTCAGCCAGAGACACTGGGGCACCCAGGACAAAGGGTGCCAGCAGCAGAGACAACAGGCAGGGCACAACTGGTTGGGATACAAGAAAGAAAGTCAGAGGCAGGTCTGAGATTTCTCTGGGAGGATCCAACCTCCATTTCTTCAGAAGGCAAGAACTTTGTCCTATAAAAATTTCCAGCAGATGAAGAGAATTAAAAAAGACAAACTCCAGTCAACCAGGCCCAAAGCACACATGTGGATCTGGCCCCAGAGTTCTTTCTCTGATTTCTTAGTATAAATTCTCTGTCCCTCAGGTGCTATGATTCAGGACTTCTCTCCCCTACAAGTTTCAGCTACTTACCTAGTGAGTTGGTCATGTTCCTCTTTCCTTTGCTGTCTGTATCTAGGTCCCTGGGGCACCTGTTCTCTCTGGCCCTACCCTGAGATTCTTTATACCTTTTATCCTCGAGGCTTTGGATGGGACAGGCAGAGGACCACACCCTGGAGGAGGGAAGAAAGGGGATGGGGAGGGGGGGGAGAGCCCAGGAAGCCCGAGTGGGAATTGGACAGAGAATAGGGTGGCAAGGGAAAAGGGAAGGAAGGAGACTGTAGAAGGTGAGAGATGTCATGGGAAGAAAGGTTTGGGAGAGTCAGAGAAGAAGAAACAGAGAAGGGAAGGGGGAAAGACAGAGAAAGAAAGAGGATGAATGGGGAGGAGGCCAATGAGAACCTAAGGTGAAAAGGGTCTGGGAAGAGGCAGGTAAAGAGACTGCAAAAGGGTTCCCCAACAACATGACCATGGCCCCCAACCCTGCTTTCCCTGGTTCCCCCCACCCTTCCTCCATTGCCTGGTCTGTAAAACTCCAGAAGCAAAGGAGGGAGAGGGCTGAGGGCGGGGAGGGGATTATGGGGGACAACGAGGCCGCCCCGATCCCTGCAGCTCCGCACGTCCTGAGATCTAGTTTCCCTCAGAGGCGGCTCTACTCCGCCCCTCAGCATAGGCTTCCTCTGTCCTTCAGCACCCTCCCAACCCTACCCCCACCCCAACCTTGGCACACAGTAAACTATGAAGGCTATTGGCTAGGAGAAGAGGGTAAATGGGGTCTGAGAGGGCAAGAACATCTGGATTCTGAGCTGGGAACTATTATTCCACAAAAATTCACCAAATATCTACTATGTGAGTCTTCTCTACTGTTGGGGATACAGAAATATAGCACATATAGCAGGCCCCTTAAGAACCTGAGTCCAAAGGCAGGGTAGCTGGATCCCTGGAATAGAGCAGTGGTTCCCACCCTTTAGGTTATAGGCTGAGAAGTTGGGGGGGGTGGTCAGTAGAGGGGGAATTTGTCTCTGAGTTATTGGAAAGGGTCTGAGACTCAATATGCATATCAAACCATGTCATTTTTATCTGTTTAGGAAGCATACCATAACATCTCACACATATTACTGTTTTTCAAATATATGTAGAGTTCATTGTGATTAATAAAATATAAATTCACTTGCATGCCATTGGATTTATAACCACATTTTGTTATCAAGTATTTTTTCAATCCACAGATATTATTAACATAACTACTATTAGGAGTTAATGTTCTGTCATTTAATAAGAATTGTCATATTAGAAAAAGTTGGGAGCCATTGAGAGAGATCTTACTCTCCTAGCCCCACCTTGATCCCTAATGGATCCTGAGTTCAGGTGTCACCTACCTGCCCTGAGGCCTCCACTGCTGGGTGAAAGGCAAGGAGCAGCAGCCAGTTGCCTGGGACTTAGAGATACCAGCTTCCTGAGGTCTTGGGGTTGAAAGGTCAGGCCAGGGAGTAGAAGTCTAACTGGAGAATCAGGGGCTTCAGAAAAGTCAGAGCAAGAAAAAGATGACTTGGGAACCAGCTCCAAGATGGCAAGCCAGGAGCAAAAGTATGGTTAATATACTTGGAAGCTGATGTGAATCCAGGTATCTGGAGAAGAGGAAGGGCTAGGAGACTGCTTTGGCCCTTTGGCAAACAGGCCTCTTGCTGAGGGGGTAGTATGGGGGGGGGAGTAGGTGATGTCAGGGGATTAGCTTGAACTCATTGAGAGGGCTCAGTGAGGCGTGGGGCTGGCAGGAGGGGGAAGAAGGCAGGAACCCGATCTGGGACCTATTCACAGGTGAAGGGTATATGTGGAGCTGGGAGAGGAGGGGACAATTTAGGGTGCCTGGCTACAGGTTATTCATTTGGTGACCTGGGTATGATATTCTTCCCCCACCACATCAGCACCCCTCTTTCCCATGCCTTAGGTCTTAAGGTTCTCTCTTTTCTCTCCAGGTCTTCCGCTATTACTAAGACTTTATTTTCCCTCTTCTAAGACCTGTTCTCACCTGTCTCTGAGCTTCATCTTCCTCTAATTTTCATTTCTCTTTCCCCCTTTCTAGGTTTCATTATACCTAGGCCTATCCCATGCTCTTGCCTCCAGTTTTGCTCCCCTCTTATGTCTCTCTTGGTTCCAGAAACTCTTTTCCTGTTCTCTATTCTCCCTCAGTAACAGAGAGATCCTCCCAAGAAAGCTAAGACCATACAGATTCTCAAGAGATAGGATACCCAGTCTCCCCCAACCCCTCAAAAAAGACAGCTCTAATGATGAGTCCTGAATGTTTTCAGTGTTCAAGGTACATTCACAGGATCATAGATTTAGCATTGTAAGGGACCTTAGAGGTCATTGAGTCCAACCCCCTCATTTTACAGAGGAAGAAACTGAGACCCAGAGGGATTAACTGACTTACCTAGGATCATATAGCTACTAAGGATCTGAGGTTAGATCTGTACCCAGGCTTTCCTGACTCCTAAGTCCAGCACCCTGTCCAGGCTTGCCATGCTGCTTCTCACAAGTTGATGGAAATCCTGATAGTACCACAGACCTCAGGTTTGCTTCAGGATTGACATCACAGTCTCTACTGATTTGTTCAGATTATTATATTACCCCTCTCTCTGTTCTGAACCTGGACTTGATTCTACAGGTATTAATCACCCCAACTCTTCCTTAGATGTGTAGGTGGACCTGTGATCTTGTCAACTTAGTAACCCCTTCTACCAATTAGAATTGATTCTTGCCTATGTCTTTCTATATAACATCCATAGAAGATCCATCCGTAAGGGAGGTCCTTCTCATATTTTCTTAATGTGTTAGACTACTGAGGGAATATTTGGACCAGTCATCTGTTCTCACTCCTTCTCACTACATGATTTACCTGCCTCATATTGGGGTCATTCTTGTTCCTTATAATGTCTTTTATTTTAAAAATGAATGTGGCTGGGACAACTAGGTGGCACAGTGGATAGAGCCTGTGAGTCAAGAGGATCTGAATTCAAATCTGGCATCAGACACTAGCTGTGTGACTCTGGTCAAGTCATTTAGCCTGGATTACCTAAAAAAACCAACCAACCAAACAAACAAACAAACCAAAAACACCAGGGAAGCTAGATGACTCAGTGGATAGAGCACCAGTCCTGGAGTCCAGAGGATCTAAGTTCAAATGTGGCCTCAGAAACTTGACGCTTACTAGGGGTACGACCCTGGGCAAGTCATTTAACCCCAATTGCCTCGCCAAATTAAAAAAAAAATGTGGCTAGTAGGTTGCCATGTGCTTACACTTACCTTACTACCAAAGTCCACTGCTTTTCAATAATCTTTTCCTAAAACTTAGTCAATAATGATGATGATGATGACAATATACTCTACAAGAATCAATAACTTTAATTTTATTGGTATCTCTACACATAACTTTATAGGTATATCCAATCCCAATTCCATAGGTTCTATGGGACCTATATGAAATTCAATGGGAGCAATGTAGTTAGTGGAAGAAACACTGAATCTGGAGTCAGAAGAGCTGTGGTCAAATATCTCTGTATTATTTAACATCTGTATGACTTAGAACAGATACCTTTTTTTTGACTCAGTTTCCTCATATGTAAAATGACAGGATTGGATTAGCGTGCTCCCATTCCAAATTGGATGATATCATGTATCATCTGCAACACTACTGATATCCTCAGTCTGAAGGACTTCTTATGCCATAAGTAGCCCTAGTCTCCTAAGAGACAATCCAGGCAGTGGATAGCACAAGTTATAAAGAGAAGAATACACTAATGTCATGTTTACTTGGTGCTAGCTTGGCTAGAGCAAAGTGTCCATGTTGGGAAGCAGTGGGAGACAAAGTGGTGGGTGGGGTCAGATTATGGAAGACCTTGAAGGTTAAATAGAGTTTAGACTTTATGTAGTGGGAAGACTTTATGTAGATGGCCATGGTAAAATAGTGACATGTATTCTAAGAAGGCTAATTAGGCATCAGTATGAGGAGGACGGAATGAAAAGAGGAGAGATTAGAGATGAAGGGACTATATGGCAGCCCTCGTCTGCCATCTTCTCTTTTCCCATTCCCTCTTAGTATCCAGTATATAGATATGGCTAGGGAATGGAGGAGAATCATCAGTCCAGTCCATTTTCTTTTCTTCCTCTTCCTCTAACCCTAGTTAGGGGGTATGTGTCTGGTTCTCCTCCTAGGATGATCATAAGTAAAGAACATGAGTCTGCTTAAGGTTCATCTTTTATTCCCAAATCCATTATTCTCTCCATGAAACATAGTGATGGTAGATATTCCACTGTGAAGATAGTGAAAATATTGCCTTCTGGGGAGTGCAGCCTGAAAGAGATATCGTAGGATATGGTATGTACTATAGCTGGAGCCAAGACACCTGACCTCGAATTGCAGCATCAACTCTAGATTTACTCTGAGTAAATCACTTCCCCTCTCCAAACTTCAGTTTCCCCAAAAATCTAGGTTCTCTGTCTCTAAGCCCAATGCTTGGTCCATGGAATACCCTGCTATGTGGAGGAGAAAGAGGACAGGACTTGAAGGCACAGAATCAGGAGTTCAAAGGGGATCTCAGAAGTCGTTTAGTACAATCTGTCCCTGAATAGGAATTTCCTCTACAGTATCATTGACAAGTGGTCATCCACCTATCTGTGAAGACCTCTAGAGAGAAGGAACCTACCACCTCCCAAAGCAGCCCATTCCAATATGGGACAGTTCACATTATTGGAAAGGTTTTCCTTTCACTAGGTCCAGTTCTGTCTTTAGGCACCTTCCATCCATTGTCACTAGTTCTGCCCTAAAATACCTCTTCCACACACAGATCTGTGAAGATCTCTAGTAAGAAGGAACTGAGAGCTAACATTCTCTCTTCCCCGACCAAGACTTCTCTTCTCCAGACTAAATAGCCCACTTCCTTCAACTAAACCTCATAAGGCATATTCTCAGTCCTGTCACCTATTTTGGTAAGATGGACTTTAGCTTATCTATGTAAATCCTAAAATATGGTATACAAAACTCAACACAATATTTCAGATGATTCTTTTTTTTTCCTTCTGCTTTTTGGTAAGGCAATCAGGGTTAAGTGACTTGCCCAGGGTCACACAGCTAATAAGTATCAAATGTCTGAGGTCAGATTTGAACTCAGGTTCTCCTAACTCCAAGGTCAGAGCTCTATCCACTGTGCCACCTAATTGCCCCATTTCAGATGATTCTTGACCAGGACAGAGTAGAACCATTACTTCCCTCTTTCTAGACATTGATTCTATTAATGTGGTTTAGGATATCATTACTTTTTTTTTTTTGAGGCAGCTAAGTGTGCAGTAGATAGAATGCTAAAGTAAGAAAGACCTGAGTTCAGATTTGACCTCAGACATTAACTGTGTGACCCTGGGCAAGTCACTTAACCTCAGTCTTGTTTTATGTAAAATGGGGATAATAATAGCACTTACCTCAGGGATATGAGAATCAAACAAGATAATATTTATAAAATGCTTAGCATATAGTAGGTACTTAATAAATTCTTGCTCCATTTCCTCCCTCCTTTTTGGCCGCCATGTTGTAATGCTGATTCATCCATTAAATTCCTTTTTCTTTTTTAGGAAAAAATAATGTATTATTGATACATCTTTTTATATTATCTCCACTTCCCAATATATCTCACTTTCCCCCTCCAAAGCCATTCCTTATTATAAATAAAATAAACGAACAGTTCAGCAATACTAACCAACATAGCAAAGAAATCCCAAATTATATGCAGTGTTCCACACCCATAGTCTTTCACCTCTGAAAAGAAAGGAGGTGCATTCTTATATCTTGTTCTTTAAGGCCAAACTTAGTTGTTATACTTTCACAGCATTCATTTTGGATTATTTCATTTGTTGGTCTTTCCATTTACATTGTTTTAGTTGTAACTGGGGGTCCAACACAAAGCTTTCCTAACTGCCTTTGACTGACCACGAGTTTGTGCTCAGAGTTAAGGCATTATGGAGATAACAAAGCAGTCTCCTTACTGGTCACTCAGAGGGGATGACTCAGTGGATTTTTAAAAAGGGAGTAATTCTGCCCTCCAGCTATCTCTTCCTTTGATTCTTCAGGTGGCATTACATAACTCTGAGACTTCCCATGAGGGGTGGAGGAAGGGCAGCTCACTCATTTTCGCAGCCCAGAAGGCCTCGGAAGCTAAAGCATATGTCCTGCCTACCAAGCCTAAGAAGGGATGTTAGACTCTAGCTACCTCTTCCATTTTGGATTTCTTTCCTGAATGTGAATGCTGGAATAGTGACCTTGAGGTGAGTTAGTCTAGATTTGGAGATGACCTTGTGAATTCAAAAGGACTGGAGGACATTGAGTCTCTTGGCTGGAACTTACTGGCAGCAGGGGGAGTTTGCACTGATTACTTCACTCTGCATCAGTTCATGTAAGTTTTCCCAAGCTCCTCCATATTCATCATATATATCATCTTTTATAATACAGTTAACACTGACTACCCTGGCTCCCTCTGCCTGAAGGCCAATATGTTATATTTCAGGCCTCCCCCACAGTCTTCCAATGTCCTTATGGGGCTTGGGATGTCTAGGCTTTCTGCAAATGGCTCCAGCCCTCAACAATGGTTTTCTACCAAATTAGGGGGTGATCCCATGTACCCTAGTTACATTTAGCCTTTAACAGTTGGACTAACTTTTACAAAGAAATATTTACTTTAAAAGGGATAATAGTAAATATACAAACTTACTCCCACTAACACATGGGTAGCATAATTCCCTTTCCCTCCATACCATCCCAGTCACTGGGAAAGGGAAGAGATTAGGTTAATCACTTAACTTGCACATAGTTCTAGTTTCAAGTCCAAAGCCCACCTTGGGCTAGAATCCCAGGTATCCTGCTTTCCTTCCCTGCCTGCAATCTTGGCTCCAAGGTTGCCACGGCTCAAATTCCCGGTATCTAAAACTGAGAAGGTCAAATAATACAAAACAGAGACCCCAGACCTGTTTCTCCAAGCCAGGCAAAAGGGGTGGAGAGTAGGGGAAGGTATCTCTTCTCTCAATTCAGTTTATAGAATCAGGGCTCTGACTGAACTGTGATATTCCCCCTCTGGATGAAACAGGAAAGAGTTTGGACAGTTTTAAAGATGCAGGCTGTTCTGCCTGCTCTTCCAATCAAAGGAGGCCACTCTTACTCACATGGTAGGCAAAGGCAGGGTGCCTCCATGTTAGGCAATCTGTGCATGCTCCAAATCCCATCATATAGTAATTTTTTATTCCTCATACCATGATTTGCCCAGTTGATGGGTATCTGCTTTGTTTCCAGGTCTTTGCTACTACAAAAAGTGTTGTTGTAAGTATTTTCTCAGATTCCTCCCCCCATCCTCCCACCCAGGAACTGCTGTCTAGATAGTCTTCCCTTTCCCAGTCTTACATTTGCAAAGTTGATTGTTTTAAACCTAAGTGCAAGGCTTTATATTTGTCCCTATTAAATTTCATCTCATTAGAAAATTCAATG